TGCGGGGAGCCCCATCCACAGCGGCTTAAGTCCATGAGGCTGCCCACCCTCACGCCCTCCACCTCCCTCCTCTCCCCAGGTCGAGGGCGGCTGCCTGCTCACCTGCACATAGATGTCAATCTGGGAGCGTGGGTGCAGCTGCGTAAGGATAGCTGCCTCGAAGGTCTGACGCAACTGCAGACCCATCTCGCAGGACTTCCGGTCCCCATGCGGCCGCCGCTTGCGCTCGCCGGTGCTGAAGGTGGCAGAGCTGTACTGACAGTTGACCAGGGCCCTGTCGGGGAGGGCTCGGGACCGGGAGCCCCGGATCTGAGGGGAAAGGACAGATGAGCCAGGCCCGCGCCTCCCAGCTCACGCTACGCCTTCCTCCGGCTCAGGTCCCAAACCTCGGCCTCCCCCGAATCTCCCTCCAACGTCCCAACAAGCGCAACTACTTGACCTCAAAAACAGAGGCCACGCGAACCATCTCTAAGCCACCATCCCCTCCCTCTGGGTCTTAACAAGCCTCCCTGTTCCCGTCCTCGCCTCATCCCCTCCCAACCCATTTTTCACTTGTAGCCAGAGCCAGTCTGTTGACAAATGCCAAGTCCGATTCCGTCTCCTCTGTACAGCCACACGCTCCCAAAGGCTCCCCATCAGGTAAAATCCGAAATCTTTTCCCTGGTCTGCAAAGCCCCGAGGTCGTGCCTCCCTAGAGACCCCTCAATCTCATTTGGAATTGTTCTCCTTCTCCCCGACCAGCAGCCTTTCTGCTCTGCAAAGACGCCCCGCTTGTCTCCACTCCCTCCGGCCTTTCCCCTCCAAGTTCCCGCTCCCGGAGAGCGGGGCTCCTAGACGCGTGCGTTGAGCAGACATTTCTTCGGTGCCTGAGCTGGCAGGCGGTTAGCAGCGCTAAGACCGGCAAGGAAACCGGGGTTGTGTGTGTGTGTGTGTGTGGGGGGGGGGGGGTGTTATTTCAAGTCCCTGTGCTTACGGAGCTTATGTTAGTGGAGAGACAGAGTGAGAAAAAGGAATGAAATTGGTGTCTGAGGTGACAGGTGCAGAAAGGCAGGGCGCGTGCGTGCAGCTGCGCGGTTGTAGGGCACAGGACTTGGCAGGTGAGTAAGGGCGTCCGGGGAGGTGCGGTGCAGACGCTGAAGTCGGTAGCGAGGGGAGGACTCGAGGAGAGCGCGCAGGGGGGCAGCGGCCGATGGAGGCAGGACCTCGCGCATCACAGGGCTCTGGCTGCCACTCGGGTGAGCCGCGGCCCTCAAGCCGTGCCGCGTAAACGGAGGCGCGCGCGGGCCGTCGCCCCCGGGGCTTCTTTTCGGTGGCCGCCCCCCCCCCCCCCCCGCGCAGGTCGCCCGGCCCACGCCGCCCACTCGCCTCGTGCGGCCCGTAGACCACGGCCAGCGCCTTGGTGTTGCCCTGCTCGATGTAGGCCGAGCCGTCGGCCTGCGAGAACACGCCCATCCGCGCCTGGATCTTGCGCAGCTCCCCGGCGCGCCGGCCGTCCACGCGGTAGCCCTGGTCCGACAGGAGCTCTAACCCCGCCATGCCGCCCGGCCGCCACGCCGGCCCCGCTTCTCGGAGAACTACGGTTCCCAGCGGCAGAGACGCCCCGACTCCAGACCTGGCGAGGTCTACGGTTTCCGGCGGTCCGGCTCTCCACTTCCTGCCCTAGAGAACCATGGTTCCGGGAAACCTGATCCCCACTTCCGGTCTCAGAGAACTACAGTTCCCGGCGGCGCCACTTCCTCACTTCCGGTCCCGGGGAACTTGGGCAGTGCCCGCCCAGGACGCCGGGCTGAGCCCGAGGTCAGCAGCCGAGCTGGAGGTCCGCGGGGGCAGAATTCCCGGTTCCCACGCCGGCCTGGTCGCCCGCGTAGGGCTCGCCTTCGCTCGTCTTTGGATCCGGGAGTCCCCTCGGAGGCTCGCAGGCGCAAATGCATCTATTTGTCCAAGAAAACACACTTTCTCTTACTGTTTAGTGTTTGCATTTGTTCACTTGAAAATAGACACATGGGTCCTGACTGGTGTGGTTCAGTGGATAGAGCGTCGGCCTGCGGACTGAAGGGTCCCAGGTTCGATTCCAGTCAACGGTACATGCCTGGGTTGCCGGCTTGATCCCCAGTAGGGGGCGTGAAGGAGGCAGCCAATCAATGATGATCTCTCATCATTGATGTTTCTATCGCTCTCTCCCTCTCCCTTCCTCTATGAAGTCAATAAAAATTTATTAAAAAATAAAAATGTGACCATGTGTATGCATAATACAAAATCATGTGTCTACTCAAGTGATGACGAACCTATGACACGCATGTCAGAGGTGACACGCAAACTCATTTTTTTGGTTGATTTTTCTTTGTTAAATGGCATTTAAATATAGAAAATAAATATCAAAAATATAAATCTTTGTTTTACTATGGTTGCAAAGATCAAAAAATTTCTATATGTGACACGGCACCAGAGTTAAGTTAGGGTTTTTCTTTTTTTTTTTTTTTTAATATATTTTATTGATTTTTTACAGAGAGGAAGGGAGAGAGATAGAGAGTCAGAAACATCGATGAGAGAGAAACATCGATCAGCTGCCTCCTGCACATCTCCCACTGGGAATGTGCCCGCAACCAAGGTACATGCCCTTGACCGGAATCGAACCTGGGACCTTTCAGTCCGCAGGCCGACGCTCTATCCACTGAGCCAAACCGGTTTCGGCAAGTTAGGGTTTTTCAAAATGCTGACACGCCAAGCTCAAAAGGTTTGCCATCACTGGCCTAGGGACTAAAAGGTCCCAGGTTCGATTCTGGTCAAGGGCATGTATCTTGGTTGCAGGCTCAATCCCCAGTGGGGGGTGTGGAGGCAGCTGATCGATGTTTCTCTCTCATCGATGTTTCTAACCCTCCATCCCTCTCCCTTCCTCTGTAAACAATCAATAAAATATATATTAAAAAAAAAAAAAAAGAAGAGAGTCCTATATGTTTTGTTATGTAAACCCAATTGTTGGCCTGGGGTGCCTCCCCTGACCCCGAGAACCTGCAGTCCTCAGATCTCTTGTAGGGCCTGCATGTGAGGCCTCTTACAGGGTGCCTGCCCTCTGTGACAATGCCACTCCCTGCACCCCTGTAACACCCCCACCACCTGGCACAGGTGGGTGGGGACCTGGACATGGTGGCCAGATGAGCAGGTGGGGATGACTGGCTCTCTACCCCTCTCCTTGCAACACAGTGCTGGGCTGGGACGAAGAAGCTTTTGTCACCCTGCTGGTGTGGCTCAGTGGATAGAGCATTGGCCTGCGGACTGAAGGGTCCTGGGTTCAATTCCGGTCAAGGGCACATGCCCAGGTTGCAGGCTCCATCCCCAGTAAGGGGCGTGCAGGAGGCAACCGAGATCAATGATTCTATCAATTGATGCTTCTGTCTCTCCCTCTCCCTCTCCCTCTCCCTCTCCCTTCCTCTGAAATCAATAAAAATACGTTAAAGAAGAAGCTTCTGTCCTCCAGGAGGGATCTTCCTAAGGGACCCCAAGGCCTGGGCGGGACCCCACTGGTCATGTGGCCGTGGCCCGTGTGCCTGCTCCAGGTGGTTGGACTCACTGGGCCTGGCCCTGAAGCTCCGGAATGCCCGGAGCCGGGGGGGCAGGGGGGTGCTGACCTCACAATGGCGGGGTCTCCGTCCCTGGCTAGCCCGCTGCTGCTGGTAGCTGCTGCCCCCAGCCCCCCCACAATGCCGGGCATGTCCCTCCTCAGCAGCTACGAGGGTCTGCGCCAAGAGATCCAGCGGCTGGCCCAGGAGAACGAGGAGCTGCGGCGGCTGGTGCAGCTGATCCAGGAGAACCAGGAGCTGAAGCTGGTGCTGAGGAACCGCGGCAGCAGCCTGGGCTTCTACAGCTCGGCGCTCCTGGCGGAGGTGGCCTCCAGCCCCCGGCTGCCCCGGCGCAGGACCCTCAAGTTCAAGGATGCCGAAAGAGGTGAGCGGCACCGGGCACGGGGGCTGTACCAGGGGCCGCCAGGCCTCACGTATTCGGCTTCTGCCAAGACAGTTAAAAGGAGGGAAACCGCCCGCCTGCATGGCTCCGTGGTTGAGTGTTGACCTATGAACCAGGAGGTCACGGTTGGATTCCAGGTTTGGGGCTCAATCCCCTGTAGGGGGCGTGCAGGAGGCAGCCCATCAGTGATTCTCTCTCCCTCTCCCTTCCTCTCAGAAATAAAATATATATTTTTTAAAAAAGAAAGAAAATGGAAAGAAAGCGGGACTCCAGGTGGCTCCTGGGTCTTGGCCAGACGCTGCAAGTGGGCAGCTGCCTTGGACCTGGCAGGTGGGAGGTGGCCCCAGGCCTCACCACACTCTGGAGGCCTCGGGCGCCACGGAGCCAAGGGGATGTGAACCGAATAACCAGGGCCGGCTGCCTGTCGCTGCTGCAGCCAACGGAGCAGAGGCCGACGGCACTGAGTCCAGTCCTGCCGGCAGCGCGGGGAGCAGCAGGCCGTCCACAGACACCTGCTCTGCACCCTAAGGGGTGGACGGAGAAGATGACAGGGGGCAGGAATGACAGGCGTGGGGAGCAGGCCAGGGGCTGGGCCAGGGGCGGGAGGGGCGGCCAGTGGGTAAGCTTTCCCCGACGGTAGGCAGTTCTTGAATGAGGATGGACGCGGGCTCCGAGGCCGACTCCCAGGTCCAAGGCCGACTCCCAGGTCCGGGCGCACAACCCCCGGCCAGGCTAGCCTGTCCTTTCTGTAACCAGAACTAGGCAAGCACGGCTAACTGGCCATGGTTAGTATTTCCCGTAACCATAGCTGGTCCCCAATATTCTATTTTTGCCCCCAACAGGGAGACACGAGTGGGTGCGCTGGAGGCGCAAGGCTTGGCGGCCAAGGTGCCTGCAGCCAGGCGGTGGGGGAGGGGACGCGCCGGCTGGAAAGGCCCCCGCCCGCCAAGGCCCCCGCCCGCCGTCCGGGTGGCTGCCCGCCCAGGGCAAAGGCAAATCCGGGCAGGCAGAGCCTGACGCAACCCGGAGAGCCCGGCGCACCGGGACTGGTCGGGCGGGGGGCGGGGGCGGGCCCGCTTCCGGGCCGAACGGTGCGGGTGTGGGCGGTGCGTGCAGCCGGGACAGACGGCGAGAGACGCGCAGCCACCCGGCCAGGTGGGTCCCCGCACCCGGACCCGCCGGTCCACCCTCACCGCGCGCTCCGCTCCTCCCCGCCCCGGCCGCTCTCCCCCGCCCCGTGGCTGCGCAGGCTCCACCTGCTCCCGGTCCGGTCCGTGTCCCACAGGCCTGGGCTCCAAGGTCGCAGCACTGGGAAGGGAGCTCCCCCCCCCCCCCCCCCCCCCCGCCTCCTGGTGCCAAAGAGACGGGACCCCAGGGCCAGGGCTCCCCCCTGACAGGCCCCATCAGGGCCGTGAGGGGGCGGGGGCATCAGGCCTGGCCCTGGCCCTGGCCCTGCCTCAGGCTGCCTCTGAGCCTGGTCCTGCAGCTCCGCCTCCTCCCAGACGTGGATGCCTCTCCCAGCTCTGCCGCCTGTGGGTGAGACCTCTCTACCCTCCTCCCAGGGTGAGCCCCTCCCCGCTGACCCCTGGTCTCTGCCCAGTGTTCCCAGGACTGCAGCCTGAGGAGTTCCTGCTGGACTCCAGCCCCGTCGCCATGGGCAGCCCCGAGGGGCGCTTCCATTTTGCCATCGACCGCGGAGGCACCTTCACGGACGTCTTTGCCCAGTGCCCAGGGGGGCATGTGCGGGTCCTGAAGCTGCTCTCAGAGGACCCTGCCAACTACGTGGACGCCCCCACGGAGGGCATCCGCCGCATCCTGGAGCAGGTGGCGGGGGGGGGGGGGGGGGGTGGGGGGTGGGGGGGGGCAGAGGGGCGGGGCGGGGAGGGGCCCAGGGCCAGAGGCCTGACCCCACCGTGGTCCCCAGGAGGGGGGCGTGCTGTTGCCGAGGGACCGGCCTCTGGACACCAGTCGCATCGCCAGCATCCGCATGGGCACCACGGTGGCCACCAACGCGCTGCTGGAGCGGCAGGGGGAGCGGGTGGCACTGCTGGTGACCCGCGGCTTCCGAGACCTGCTGCACGTGGGCACCCAGGCCCGGGAGGACCTCTTCGACCTGGTGAGCTCCCCCAGGCCAGCAGGCGGCTGGGTCCTCGTGGGGTGGGCAGTCCGTGGAAGGGGCAGTGCCAGCCCCAGGCCAGCAGCTGATAGGCAGCGAGGCGGCTCTCGTGCTCCCAGCACTCAGAACGGCCACATGTGCTGTTCCCGTCACGCTGGGCCCAGGTGTGAGGTAGTCCACGCCGGCCTGTTCCCCTCTGGGGGAAGGAGCTGCTTTTGCGGGGGAGCTGCGGGAGGGTGGGTGGGGGGGTGGGCAGGGAGCTGCCTCCTGGGTGGGCTGTGCTGGGGCCGCCCCTTCTGACTGTCTCCGGGGCCTGCCCACGGCCTGTTGGGACACATTTCCTTGCCTGCACGGCCCACCGATGCAGGACCCCAGCAAGCACCCTCAGGCCGGGGCCCCCCCGCTAAGCCTCTGCCACCCCCAGGCCGTGCCCATGCCCGAGATGCTGTACGAAGAGGTGCTGGAGGTGGATGAACGAGTGGTGCTGTACCGTGGGGAGCCAGGCTCCGGGACGCCTGTCAAAGGTGTGTGCCTCGCCCTGGCCGGTGTGGGTCAGTGGACAGAGTGTCGGCCCGCGGACTGAAGGGTCCCGGGTTCGATTCTGGTCAAGGGCACTTGCCCAGGTTGTAGGCTCGATCCCCAGTGTGGGGCGTGCAGGAGGCAGACGATCCATGATTTTCTCTCATCATTGATGTTTCTCTCTCTCCCTCTCCCTTCCTCTCTGAAATCAACAAAAAATATAGATTTTTTAAAAAGGTGTGTGCCTCCAGCCCTAGCCGGTTTGGCTCAGTGGATAGAGCGTCGGCCTGCAGACCCAAGGGTCCCAGGTTCGATTCCTGTCAAGGGCATGTACCTCGGTTGCAGGCTCCTCCCTGGCCTGGGCCCTGGTCGGAGGCGCGTGTAGGAGACAACCAATCGATGTGTTTCTCTCACAGGGATGTTTTTCTCTCTTTCCCTCTCTTCCACTCTCCCTAACAATCAATGGAAAAATATCCTCGGGGGAGGTCTGAAACGTAGACAGGCGTGTGCCTCCGCGGCAGGATCCCGGGACCTCTGATGGGCAGTGGTGGCCTCCTTGCAGGCTGCACGGGGGACCTGCTGGAGGTGCAGCGGCCCGTGGACCTGGGGGCCCTGCGCGGGAAGCTGGAGGGGCTCCTGGCCCGCGGCATCCGCAGCCTGGCCGTGGTCCTCATGCACTCCTACACGTGAGTGCGTGTGCCGGGTCCAGGGCTCCTGGCGGCACCTCCCCCTCTGAAAGGCCTGCTCCAGGCCCTGGGTTTCGGCCCCAACCAAGGCGTTGGGGAAGTGGGGGGCATTAGGCCTGGAGCCCCAACCTGCCCAGCCCTGGCCTTGCCTCGGACTGCCTCCTCCCAGAGCCCCTCCCAGACCTGGATGCCCCTCCCAGCTCTGCCCCCCCTGGGGTGGGGGGCGAAAGCCTCCTGAGCAGAAGGCCAGGACTGAGTGGGGGGCAGTGGGTGGGCGGTGGGGGCGAGGGTGGGAAGGGCAGCGCTGCAGGTCCTTGTCGCAGGTGGGCCCAGCATGAGCAGCAGGTGGGCGCGCTGGCCCGGGAGATGGGCTTCACACACGTGTCGCTGTCCTCGGAGGCCATGCCGATGGTGCGCATCGTGCCAAGGGGGCACACGGCCTGTGCCGACGCCTACCTCACCCCCGCCATCCAGCGCTACGTGCAGGGCTTCTGCCGGGGCTTCCAGGGCCAGCTCAAGGTGAGACCCCCGCCTGCCCGCTCCAGCCCCCCATCCCCGGTGCCTGCCTGGCCCCTCACCGCCTGCTCACCCGCCCGCAGGACGTGCAGGTGCTGTTCATGCGCTCCGATGGCGGCCTGGCGCCCATGGACGCCTTCAGTGGTTCCCGCGCGGTGTTGTCCGGCCCCGCTGGGGGTGTGGTTGGCTACTCTGCCACTACCTACCAGGCCGAGGGTGGCCAGCCTGTCATTGGCTTTGACATGGGAGGTATGAGGGCCGAAGGGTACGAGCCTTCCAGGGGAGGTTCCGCAGCCGGTGGGCAATGCAGGCATCCAGGTCTGCGGGGTGACACTCACCACCAGATCCCCCACCAGGCACATCCACCGACGTGAGCCGCTACGCGGGGGAGTTCGAGCATGTCTTTGAGGCCAGCACGGCGGGCGTCACCCTCCAGGCCCCCCAGTTGGACATCAACACCGTCGCAGCTGGTGGGGGCTCCCGCCTCTTCTTCAGGTCAGCTCCCCACCTGGGCCAGGACCCCCTGCCCTGCCTCCCAACCCGCCTCCAATTCCAGTTGTCCCTCCCCCAAGGTCTGGCCTGTTTGTGGTGGGGCCGGAGTCTGCAGGAGCCCACCCTGGCCCCGCCTGCTACCGTAAAGGTAAGGTCTGGGGTCCCCTTGCAGGACCCTCCCCTGCTGCCCAGGCCCACCCACCTCTTCAGCCCCCAACTCCACACTGTGCACACCTCCCAGGGGGCCCCGTGACCGTGACGGATGCTAATCTGGTTCTGGGCCGCCTGTTGCCTGCCTCCTTTCCCTGCATCTTTGGGCCGGGAGAGGACCAGCCTCTGTCTCCGGAGGCCTCCCGAAAGGCCCTGGAGGCTGTGGCCACCGACATCAACAGCTTCCTGACCAACGGGCCTTGCCCCGCCTCCCCACTGAGCCCAGAGGAGGTGGCTATGGGGTTTGTGCGTGTGGCCAATGAGGCCATGTGCCGGCCCATCCGTGCCCTCACGCAGGTACGCCGCCTGCCTTTGCTCTTGCCCCCCAGCCCCGCCCCCGGCCCCTCCCACTCAGGCAACCCCCTGGGGGTGAGGGGTCAGGAGCTGAGCAGGGTAGGTTAAGCCCCTGACCCTCCTCTGGCTCCCTAGGCACGAGGTCACGACCCCTCGGCACATGTGCTGGCCTGCTTTGGAGGAGCTGGCGGGCAACATGCCTGTGCCATCGCCCGGGCCTTGGGCATGGACACTGTGTACATTCACAGGTGTGTCTGAGCCTGGGGCCTGGGGCCCAGGATGGGGGACGGCCAGGGGAGGCTCCCCTCACCGCCCTGTGGCTCCGTCTCCCTAGGCACAGCGGGCTGCTGTCAGCACTGGGGCTGGCGCTGGCCGACGTGGTGCACGAGGCCCAGGAGCCCTGCTCCCTGCCCTACGTGCCCGAGACCTTCATGCAGCTGGACCAGAGGCTGAGCCGGTTGGAGGAGCAGTGCGTGGACGCCCTGCGGGCCCAGGGCTTCCCCAGGTGGGGTCCTGGGGGCTGGGCTGGGCTGGGCCCAGGGCTTGCAGCATCCCAGGTGCCCTCTAGGCTGGGTCAGCACCTGACTTCCCCGATGGTGCCAGGCCCCCTTCGGGCAGTGCTCAGGGAGGAATGGACCCTGAGGCTGGAGGAGGTGGGACGGGCGTCCTCGTGGGGTGCCCGTGTGAGGGTCCCACCTGTGCACCCCGCAGGTCCCAGATCCACACCGAGGGCTTCCTGCACCTGCGCTACCAGGGCACGGACTGTGCCCTGATGGTGTCCGCCCACCAGCACCCGGCCACTGCCCGCTCTCCCCGCGCTGGCGACTTCGGGGCAGCGTTCGTGGAGAGGTACGCCAGCTCGAGGCCTGGGAGCCCTGGTGGGTCGCCTGCTGGCCGGGCCGCGTGGCCCTGACCGCTCCCTCGGGCCGGTGGGCGCAGGTACATGAGGGAGTTCGGCTTCGTCATCCCTGAGCGGTCGGTGGTGGTGGACGATGTGCGGGTGAGGGGCACTGGCTGCAGTGGCCTTCGCCTGGAGGACGTCGCCAAAGCCCAGATGGGGCCCCCTCGGGTAGACAAGGTCAGTGGCCCTGCCATGCATACCCACCTGTGCCCTCGGGGACACGGGCAGGTGGGGATGGGGAGGCGGGGGACCTGGGTGCTGGGCCTCCTTCACCCCCCCACCTCCTCAGATGACCCAGTGCTACTTTGAGGGGGGCTACCAGGAGACCCCCGTGTTCCTGCTGGGAGAGCTGGGCTATGGGCACAAGCTCCAGGGACCCTGCCTGATCATCGACAGCAACAGGTGGGCTGAGGCCGGCCAGGTCGGGTCCTGGGGGTACAGGTTGGGGCCACAGCTCTGGGGGCCTGGCAGGGGGTTCTCTGGCCCGAGGCTGCAGGAATCTGGACTCTAGGGTCCCATTAGGTGGAACCCCCACCTGGGGAAGTGAGGTTCCTGGTTGGGAGTGGGGTCTGGCTTGGCCCCTCCAGCCGCCCTGTGCCCCTGCCCCCAGCACCATCCTGGTGGAACCGGGCTGCCAGGCAGAGGTGACTGAGACCGGGGACATCCGCATCTCGGTGGGGGCCGAGACCCCCGGCACGGTGGGCGCCCAGCTCGACCCCATCCACCTGTCGATCTTCTCCCACCGCTTCATGAGCATCGCGGGTGAGTGTGCCGTGCCACTGTCCTCCCGGCCCTCCTCCCGGGGGGTCCGGTGGGGGGGTCTGCCAACCAGGCACAGGCGGTGCAGAAAGTGTTGCCGGGCAAGGGGCAGAAGCAGGATCGTGGCTGTGACCGGCCGAGCAGCGTGGCCCTGGCTCTGCGCTGGCACCGCCTCCCTGCACCCGCCAGCCGCGGGCAGGGCATGCTTCCCTCCGACAGCAGCCTCTGGGTGTGGGCAGGAAGCAGGCTCTGGCAGTGAACCGACCTGAGCAGGGCCAGGCCAGGGGGCCCAGGACTTGCCTGGCAGGGCAGGGACGGATGTGGGACCCCAGGTTCTTGCTGGGGCTCCAGGCCGCGGTGGGGGAGGGCGAGACCTGGCGTCCAGGTGGGCCGCCAGCGCCTTTGGGGCCTGGCTCAGGGCCGTGGGTCCTGCCGCTCCTACTGGGGGCGGAGCTGTGGTGAGGTGGGGCCAGCAGCACCGTCACTTGTTCCTCCAGAGCAGATGGGCCGCATCCTGCAGCGCACGGCCATCTCCACCAACATCAAGGAGCGCCTGGACTTCTCCTGCGCCCTCTTCGGGCCCGACGGGGGGCTGGTCTCCAACGCTCCCCACATCCCTGTGCACCTGGGCGCCATGCAGGAGACCGTGCAGTTCCAGGTTGGCCAGGTCCCTCTTCCTGCCCTTCTCATCTGCCCCACCCCAGCCCCGCCCCTTCTCGACCCCCAACCTGTGTCCTGGCTTCAGATCCAGCACCTGGGGGCTGACCTGCACCCTGGAGATGTGCTGCTGAGCAACCATCCCAGCGCCGGGGGCAGCCACCTGCCAGACCTGACGGTCATCACGCCGGTGAGGGCCTCTGCCTGGGGACCAGGGGGAGGGGGGAGGAGCGTGCCAGAGGGGGCAGGGAGGCCAGACAGCTGACTGCCCCTCTCCACTCCTAGGTGTTCTGGCCGGGTCAGACTCGACCTGTGTTCTACGTGGCCAGCCGCGGGCACCACGCCGACATTGGGGGCATCACCCCAGGCTCCATGCCCCCACACTCCACCGCCCTGCAGCAGGAGGGCGCTGTCTTTCTGTCCTTTAAACTTGTCCAGGGAGGCGTGTTCCAGGAGGAGGGTGAGTGGAAGTGGGCCTGGGGCTGGCGTTGGGGATTCAATGGGCTGCTGCCTCCAGCCAGGCCGGGGCAGGTACGAGGCACAGCCCAGGGGCCCAGACCTGCCTTGAGGTTGGGGGAGCAGGTGGCGACTTGACCAGAGGCACTGAGCTGAGCTCTGCCTGGGCCCGGGAAGGAAGGCCTTGGTGGTCTTAGGGGCCGGGAGTTGGCTGAGATACTGCAGGGACCAGGGCAGGAGGGCAAGGAGCCTGTGTCCAGGTGTTTGCCATCTGCCCTGGGTTGGCACCGAGTCTGGGGGCTGTAGGCTCTTAGAAGGCGCAGATCTAAGTCATCGGGTGGTAGGGCCGCGGCGGCTGTGAAAGGCCCAGCCAGGTGCACGCTGGTCTGCCTGTGCCCCTTGCCCACATGCAGAGTGGAGGGGGGCCAAGGGGGTGGAATGGGGCAGCTGCAGTTACCCGGGGGGTGCTGAGCCTTACCTGGGCAGCGAGAGTAGAGTGGGGACAGCTGTTGGAGGTCGGGGTTGGTATGTGATGGGATTTGGAGGTGGGGGACAATGGAGTCTGCTGCACAGCTGGAGGGTGGAGCTCTGGCTCTGAGTGGGTAAGAGCTGCTGCGGGGATGGTGGGACCGAGGGGCAGTGGGGCCCAGGAGGGAGGAGCAGCAAAAATACAGAGCGGGTGCCCGGCTGGCGTGGCTCAGTGGGTGAGAATCAACCTATGAACCAGGAGGTCACAGTTCAATTGGAGGTCAGGGTTCCATTCCTGAGCAAGGGCACATGCCTGGATTGCGGACTCGATCCCCAGTAGAGAGCATGCAGGAAGCAGCCAATCAGTGATTCTCTCGCATCATTAATGTTTCTCTCCCTCTCCCTTCCTCTCTGAAATCAATAAAAATATATCAGAAAAGAAAATACAGAGCAGGGTTGAGGCTGTAGCAGTCTGAGAGCCCAGGGCGCATCCCAGCGTGAGAGGAAGTGACAAGGCAGGATGGAGGGTGGGGTAGCAGAGCCGAAGAGAGTGGCCTAGGTTTGGCTGCTCCCTTGGTCAACGGGGATAAAGGGGAGGGGGCAGGGATCATGGGAGGGACATGTGCAGGAAGGTGGCAGAGGACCCAGCAGCCGGGTCCTCAGAGAGGACTCAACCTAGACTCTAGGGGGTCTTTCCTGGTGTGGAGAGGGGGCCCCTGGGGCAGGACCTGCACTGTTTACTGGGGGCTGGAGTCTTCATCCAGTTGCGGGGGGGGGGGGGGCGGTTGCTGCACAGATGGCCACATTGATGCTCTTTTCAAAGCGATTGGCTTGGGGGCAAGTGGGGGCTACAGGGATGAGGGCCGTGTGAGTGGGGGAGGGTCAAGGGAAGTGTTTTTTTCCCCTGGGAAAGGGGAGGTGGGACCAGAGAAAGCTTGAAAAGAGTGGGCCCAGGAGGTGAGGAGGCAGGACAGGAGGCAGCGAAGGAGGGAGGAGACTTTGCTGAGGGACAGTTATGCCCTGACAACCCCCCGCCCCGCACCTGCCTGCCCCAGCCTCCGGGGCTTGTGGGGGCTGAGGTGTGGGAAGGAGAAGGCTCCGCGGATGGAGGAAGGAGTGGGTTTTCAGGGTGCTGGAGGAGCCAGCAGGGCTGTGGGGAGCCAGTGAAGGGCCAACATGGGGCCCACAGTGCCCAGCTGGGGTGCAGCAGGTGGAGAGCAGGGCACCAGGCAGCCCCCGGGCTTGGAGGCTGGCTCAGTGGTGACTCCGTCCACGCAGCGGTCACCGAGGCCCTGCAGGCCCCAGGCAAGATTCCCGGCTGCAGTGGGACTCGGAACCTGCACGACAACCTGTCAGATCTCCGGGCCCAGGTGGCAGCCAACCAGAAGGGCATCCAGCTGGTGGGGGAGCTCATCGGGCAGTACGGCCTGGATGTGGTGCAGGCCTACATGGGCCACATTCAGGTGGGTCTGGGGCACGAGCAGGGGGGCAGCTCTGTGCCAGCCCAAGGCAGCCGGGGGGGGGGGGGTGCTTGCCCCACCCGGGAGGTGGCACGGCTCCCTCTCAACATTCTCCTTGCCAGGCCAACGCGGAGCTGGCCGTTCGGGACATGCTTCGTGCCTTTGGGTCCTCCCGGCAGGCCCGGGGCCTGCCTCTGGAGGTGTCTGCCGAGGACCACATGGACGATGGCTCCCCCATCAGACTCCGCGTGCATATCAACCTGAGTCAGGTGCGGCTGCCGGAACCCGGGACCCGGGGGCGGGGCGTCGGTGGCATGGCCCCCTTATCGCTGAAGGCCTCTCTCCGCTCCCCTCCGGTGGGCAGGGCAGCGCGGTGTTTGACTTCAGCGGCACGGGGCCTGAAGTGTTTGGCAACCTCAACGCACCGCGGGCCATCACGCTGTCTGCCCTCATCTACTGCCTGCGCTGTCTGGTGGGCCGCGACATTCCGCTCAACCAGGTGTGCAGGCGTGTCCCGCGTGTGAGGTCAGCGGGTCGGCCCTGAGCCCAAGTCACCCTGAGCAAGCCCGGGGCAAAGCCAGCCCAACAGCCCAATAACAGGCTGAGGATCCTCGAGGTGCTGCGGGTGGTGGCTGGGACACAGATCTCCCCATTGACCCTGAGAGCTGGCCCCGCCCTGCACAGGGCTGCCTGGTACCGGTGCGCGTCGTGATTCCCAAAGGCTCCATCCTGGACCCTTCCCCGGAGGCGGCCGTGGTGGGCGGCAACGTGCTCACGTCGCAGCGCGTGGTGGACGTCATCCTGGGGGCCTTTGGGGCCTGCGCCGCCTCCCAGGTGCGGGTGGGCGCGGCGGGTTTGCTGGGGCGGCGGGTGGGGGAGGGAGGCAGGGACGGGCCTCGGACTGGGCGCGCGGGGAGCGGACACGGACGCTTCCCCAGCCTCAGTGACCGCTCATCCCCGCCAGGGTTGCATGAACAACGTGACCTTGGGAAACGCGCACATGGGCTACTACGAGACGGTGGCGGGCGGCGCGGGCGCGGGCCCCGGCTGGCACGGGCGCAGCGGCGTGCACAGCCACATGACCAACACGCGCATCACGGACCCCGAGATCCTCGAGAGCAGGTGCGGGGCGGGGCGGGGAGCTGGGCGGGACGTGGGAGCCGGGCCCGGATTGGAGGGCGGGGGGAGGGCGGAGGCGAGGAGCCAGTCCTGCGTTGGTGGGCGGGGCGGGGGCGGGGCCGGGACCACCTCTCTGAGCCGCCGGCCCGCACAGGTATCCGGTCATCCTGCGCCGCTTTGAGCTGAGGCTGGGGTCCGGGGGCCGCGGCCGCTTCCGGGGCGGCGATGGTGTGGTCCGCGAGCTGCTGTTCCGGGAGGAGGCGCTGCTGTCCGTACTGACGGAGCGCCGCGCCTTCCGGCCCTACGGCCTCCACGGTGAGCGCCCCGCCCCCGCCCCAGTCGGTTTCTCCCCCGCGCCCGGTCTCCTTACCCAGCCCCCCTCCCTTCCTGGCCTCCTGGGCCACCCCAAGCCTCGCCTCTCCCTGCAGGGGGTGAGCCCGGTGCCCGCGGCCTAAACCTGCTGATCCGCAAGGACGGCAGGACGGTGAATCTGGGCGGGAAGACGTCGGTATCCGTGTACCCCGGGGTAAGCTCTGTCTTCTGCCCCGTCCCGTCTCCGTCTCCCCAGCGGCGATCGTCCCACAGAGGGGGCACAGAGTTGCAAAAGTAACTAGCGACCCAGTTTAATTCGGCTTCTGGAGAAAAGGAGGCCGCAAACCCGGCTCCATGGCTCGGGCTGGGCTGTGCGTGGGCTGCTGTGGGGATGGGACCGCGGGGGGGGGGGGCGGGAGCTGGGGACCACGCCTGCGCTGAGCCGTTCCTCTGCTCCACAGGACGTGTTCTGCCTCCACACGCCAGGTGGCGGGGGCTACGGGGACCCCGAGGACCCCGTCCCACCGCCCGGGTCGCCCCCGCAGCCCCCCTCCTTCTCCACGCGCGGCAGCGTCTACGAGTACCGCAGGGCCCAGGAGGCTGTGTGAGGGAGGCCCCGCAATAAAGAGCCACTCAATCGTCCTGCTCCCGCCGCTGCGGCCCGCCCGGCTCACGCTTTGCCTCCGCGCCCATCTTTCCCCGGGCCTCGCGGCTGTTGCCGGTGCCTACGTGCATCGAAACTCGGAGCCGAAGTCCCACGGCCAGGTGGTCAGTGAGCCCTGCCAGGGCGGTGCTGAATGTCACCTGTTCTGCTTCCTGGGGGGCGGGAGTCAGGTTGAGGGGTCGCCCCAGCGCCAGCCGGCCCGGCGTCCTGATCTTGGGCACTTACTGGGCTCAGCGGGCCGCTGGGCACTCCCCGGTAGGTGATGTAATCCAGGCGCCGGCCCCGCCAGGGCTTCGCCCGGGGGCCGCCGTGAGGAGGGCCTGCCAGGTAGCGGTGGCGACCTTCCTCCTGCTCCAGGGCCCTGAAGAGGGGCGGTGTCATCAAGGCCAGGGCGCCCCTCCGTTCGGGGCTGTTCGGACGGTGCCTCGCCCCCAAGTCGCCACTCACCTCCGCAGCATCTCTGGGGAGCAGGCCACGGAGTGGCGGAGCCTGGATGTGCGCAACATCGTTCCTGGGGGCGGCGGGGGAGGCTGGGTCAGTGGAGCGCGGGTCAGCAAGCCCTCCTCCCGGGGCCTGTCCCCCGCCGGAGCGCCATACCCAGGGCCCACGGCTGCTCCCGGCGGGTGTCCAGCCGGCAGGGGTCCCGGAAGCGGCTGAAGAGGGGGTGCTCCTGTTCCCGCGCGTCACCTGCGGAGAATGGCCCGCGCTAGGTGGGCGGGGCCACGACCCTGCCCCGCCCCGCCCTGCCCCTCCGCGGGCGCCCCTCACTTCTGCAGCAGTTGTCAAAGTTCAGGTCCCCCAGGAGCACGCTGAAGGCCACGGTTTCATCGCTGGGGCGGCTCTCGGCCTCAAACTGCTCGGCCCAGTTCAACAGCTGCGTCAGCTGTTGACAGCGCAAATGTCCGTCCCCTGCAGGTGGGGGCGGGGGGGGGGAGGAAGGCTCAGTTCAGGGTGCCCTTTAGAATCCGGAACACACAACCGAACCTCCCCACCACCCACCCTGCCCATCCCCTGTGAGCCCACCCAGGCGCTCCAGGGATTCGCGGTGTCTGGGGCAGCGAACAAACGGCGGGGGAGGGGGGTCCATCTGCCCACGCGCCCACAATCCCGCCCCCCCGGGCTCACCACTCGGGGCATGCAAGTGCGTGCAGTGCAGGAAGCCCACGATGCGGCGCCCGTTCAGGATGCCCACCTGCGCCTGCAACACCACGGACAACCCAAGCAACCCTCTCCTGTGGGACCCCACCCCCTCCCGGCCTCCCGGAGCGCAGCCGCGGGTGGGCGGGTACCTGTGCAGAAAGAAGGCCCTTGGAGGCCAGCGCGTCCTCGCGGCGAGCCTGGGGGAAGGCCCGGAAGGCGGCGCGCAGCAGCGGGTAGCGCGAGGCCAGCAGCAGCCCGCTGCCCAGCACTTTGAGGTGCGGCCCAGGCTGCAGGCCGAACGTACCCACGTCATGCAGCACTGGGCCCAGGTTGGGTGCCAGGCGGCTCACCAGGGGGCGCGCCGCGCGCAGGTCGAACACCTCCTGCAGGCACACGAAGTCCAGGCCCTCCGGCAGGGCAGCCGTCAGCACCCCGCAGGGCGCCCCCGGCTCGGGCGGGCTGCAGCCCGTGGCCCCGTAGCGCGAGGGCGAGGAGCGGAGGCCGGCGAGCAGCAAGGCGCCCGCGACGTCCGCTCGCCGCTGGGTGTGCTGCAAGTTGCTGAAGCGCGCCAGCCCGTCGGGGAGCAGGCACAGGTTGGCGCTGAGAAAGCCGAAGCAGCGCGCGGGCTCCGCCGGGGGGCGCCAGGGCGCGGGGGGCGCCCAGCCTGGCGGAGGGGGCTGGTAGCAGAAGGGGCGGCGCCAGGCCTGCAACGGCAGCCAGAGCAGCAGGCCTGGCAGCGCCAGGGGCAGGCCGAGCACCACCAGCAGCAGGACTGCCGCCCCGGCCCACACGGCCAGGCGCAGCCCGTCCAGGCAGGTGGGGCGCACCCGTGGAGCCCAGCATCCCAGCAGCTGGTCCAGGGCCCAGTAGGCGGGGAAGAGCAGCGCGCGGGCGAGGCCGTGGAGGGCGTGCAGCACAGGGTGCGGGAAGGGCGAGGGCCTGAGGGCGCCGGGCACCGGGGGCCAGTCCGGCTGAGAGTGCATGGCGCGCGGGGCTTCTCGGCCGGCCGCGGGCGCCTCAGCGACTCATCTGCGAGTTGACCTGCAGGTGCGTCCGCCGGAACTGGTGCGGGGCCGCAGGGGCCGAGGCCAGGGTCAAGGCCAGGTGGCGCAACCTGTGCGCGGACCCGGGAAGGTGCCCGAGAGCCTGGGGACGCGCGCACGGGCGGAGATTTGCGTCCTGGAAACCGCCCTCTCCCCCGCGAGAAATCTCGTTGGCGGTTGAAGAGAACAAAAGGGAAAGCGAAAGGGACACTGGCCTCGCAGTCCCGCCCCGGTCCTCCTCGCCCCGCCCCTCCCCGCCCCTCCGAAGGCCGCATGGGGAACTCCTAGACTCGGAAGAGGGAACGCGGGCCGGGGCGCAGCCCGCACCGGGCGGAGGGTGATCCTTAGCGCGGGCACAGCGCTAGCGAGGGGCGTGCGGTGGGCGCTGCGTCCTGCTCCCTCCCGCCTCATGCACGTCCGCGTGGAATTGCCCGGGTGTTCCTGCTGCCAGACATTGGGATGTGCCCCACTCCACCCCCGCCGTCTCCCCAGGGGCTCGGTGTCCAGCCCTTAAGTCAAAAGAGGGGTCCCCAGTGAAGGAACGGTCTCCAGGCTCTGAGCGGCCTAACCAGCCGCCCAAACCGCGCTCCGCGGAGCCCCCCGAGGCCGGGCGCACAGTAGGACGGCTCTGTGACCCTACCCCACGGAGCGTCCCAACTGGGGGGAAGGGGCCGTTGGTTCCACCCTGCGCGGCCACTCCCCCCGCCCCCTCCTGGCACGAGGGCCCGTCTCCGTTACCTGCTGAGTCTGCTCCCACCGGCTCAGGTGGTGGCCAGGGAGCGGCCTCCGACTGCCGCTGGCGTCGCTGGGCCCCCCCTTTCTCACTGACAGCAGGTTCTTTTTTTTAAAACCATGTTTTTAAATAAATATTTTTATTGATTTCAGAGAGGAAGGGAGAGAGAGACATAGAAACACCAATGATGGGAGAGTCATAGATCGGCTGCCTCTCACACGCCCCCTACTGGGGATGGAGCCTGCAACCCCCGCATGTGCCCTGATGAACTGAACCAGACCTCCTGGTTCATAGGTGGACGCTCAATCCCTGAGCCACTCCTGGGGCCGAGCTCCCCTGCTCTGTTCTGCTTTCCCATCCTGCCTCTGCCCCTGCAGCAGGTGGGGGCTGATCTCGGCACCCGGTGGAGCTGCCTCTGCTTTCTGCACCCCGGGTGCCTTGGGAAGGGGTCCCATCCCCCTGGGCCACCCATGCCCAGGTCCGTGGGAGGCTTTCTCCTGGTTCCCTTCCCTCCCTCTCATGTCCCCGTGCCTTCAAGAGGGTCCAGAACTCCCCCCCCCCCGCCCGCCGCCATTTCATCGCTGCCTGGTCCAGAAGGAGGAACTCCCACAGCCACATCCTCCTCTTGCGTCCAGTCTGCCTTCTGCATTGCACCCAGGCCTCAGCCCACACTTGTGGCCAGCGGTGCAGGCACTGCCACAGCCCTTCCCTGCCAGCTCAGCTCCTTCCTGCTTCCTGCTCTTCCCGCCAAGTCTCAGGGCCTCTTGCTGCTCCCACGGCCAGGCCAAGGGAGCCTTGGGGCCTTCTGAACCTCCCCTCGGCCAGGCAGCTGCCCCAGGGCCGGCAGGACTGACCAGGCAAAGGGGACCGGGCAAAGGGGAGCGGGCACTGGGAACCACCCAAGGAAGCAGCACGGCCAGGAGTGCGGGCAGGCCCTGCGGCCAGCATCCGTGGGAATCTTTAATGTCTACGCGTGGGGGAGCTGGACGAAGCGAGCCTGGGCCGGCGGGGCAGGCTGCCGTCACCAGATGAACATGGGCTTGCCGTCGTCGTGGGCCAGCTGGCTGAGGCAGGAGAGCAGCAGCAGCGCGTCCGTGAGCATGCTGGGGTGCACCGTCTCCACCAGCACGCGCTGCAGGAAGTCCACGGTGTAGGAGCCGCCCTCGGACACGGCCAGCTCGGGCCGCTCGCGCAGGATGCCGTAGGCATTCACCAGCTGCTCGGTCAGCGCCGGGTGCACCCGCCCGTTGTAGCCCAGGCTCTGCAGCCGGTTCATGATGCTCACGTAGCGCTGGGTGAGCGTCTGGCACAGCTCCTCATCCAGCTTGTGGTCATTGGGGTTCAGGGAGGCCTGGGAAGAGGGAGGGGACGCGGTCAGGTGAGGGGCAAAGGTTCCCTAAGCCCCATCCCGGGATCCATCACCACTGGGGACTCAGGATGGAGCTGAGGCCAAGAGGAAGCGAGGACCCAGAGCGAGAGCGAGGCCGGGAGCCTGGGTTGGAGGGTCAGTGAGGGAGCTCTATGCCCCCAGGGCGCCTGGCCCACCAGACGCCACTGGGGGGCTCTCCCAGGCTTCCTCCTGGCCCCTGCCCTTCCTCTCACCTCTCCAGGCGCCTCCTTCTCTGCACCCGGCTCAGGCCCAGCTGGAATCACTCCCGCCTCATGCTGACATGACCACCCCAGGCCCAGAGCCAGCCATCCTGCCCCAGCACTGGGGTCCTGTTGTCCCTCAGGTGTCTGCTCCTGGGGACTGGCAGCGGCTGGGGGTTGTCTCCACCTACGTCTTCATCACCTGTGCTCCCTAGCCAGGTGGTGGCTGCGTCCTTCCTCCCCACGCCCCCCGCTGTGGCCTCCTGGACAGTCACATGACACCAGGCTCAGAGGGCCCTGCACTCAGCTAAATGCTCAGCTGTTGCACTGGGTCCTGCACATGCTGTGCCTGTCACAGGTGCAGTGGCCCCAGGCCCGCAGAACTAAGGGTCTGACGTGGGCGTCCGGTAGGGTGTCTCCCTGCCTGAGCCCTTCTGTGGTTCCCACTGCTCCCGCTTTCGGGGCCGGGGCCCCCATGCCCCCTTCCAGCCACTCCCGAGATGCTAGCTCCTTACCTGACGGGAAGGCCCAGACAAGACGCTTAGGCATCACCTCCTCCAGGAAGGCCACTCTGTCCTCCCCCCAGGTGGTCATGTGAGCAGAGCATTGGGCTTAGGGCTGGGCTCAGCTGAAGTGACCCCTGACCTCTGGCAGGTGACACTAGAGCTCTAGGCTTGGCTCTTCACTTCCTGGGCAGCCTGTGTCCCTGATTCTAGCCTCCTCTCCTGGCCCCCGTGGGAAGGACTTCCAGAGCTCAGCCAACGATGGAGGGTAAGCAAGGGAACTGTCAGCTCAGGATGGTAGGGAGCACCGTGGGTGCACAGCTGTGGGCCGTGCCGGGAGGAGCCCCAAGGCCTGGTCAGCCCGGGGCCCTGGCTGAGCTCCCGCTGCGCGAGGTCTGGGGCACGGATCTCCGGAAGGAACGGGAGGTCAGTGCGGTCCAGACTGAGCCCACCCTGCAGGGTGCTGGGCCCTGGAGAGCGGTGTGGGCTGAGAGACCCGGCCAGGGCTGCCCCAAGGAAGTGACCCTTTAAGAGGGGAAGGGGAGCATGTGGGGAAGAGTAGAACAAGCACCCTGGGTGGGGGAGCTGAGGGCATGGCCCCCCACACCCCAAGGTGCTGAGAGCAGAGCAGAAGGAAGGGCCCTGTCCTGAAGGGATGGAGGCTGCTGGTGGGCTTTGGGGGGGGGGGTGTTTTTGTTTTTTAAAAATTAATTAATGTTTTTGCCGAAACCGGTTTGGCTCAGTGGATAGAGCGTCGGCCTGCGGACTGAGGGTCCCAGGTTCGATTCCGGTCGGGGGCATGTACCTGGGTTGTGGGCACTTCCCCATTGGGGGATGTGCAGGAGGCAGCTGATCGATGTTTCTAACTCTCTATCCCTCTCCCTTCCTCTCTGTAAAAAATCAATAAAATATATTTTTAAAAAAATTAATGTTTTTATTTTTGTTAATCTTCACCCGAGGATATTTTTCCATTGATTGTTAGGGAGAGTGGAAGAGAGAGGGAGAGACAGTGAGGAACATCGATGTGAGAGAAACACTTCGATTGGTTGCCTCCTGCACGCGCCTGGACCAGGGCCCGGGCCAGGGAGGAGCGGCAACCAAGATACCTGCCCTTGACCAGAATTGAACCCGGGACCCTTTGGTCTGCAGGCCAACACTCTATCCACTGAGACAAACAGGCTAGGGCGACTTTGTGGTTTTAAATGCTCAAGCTGACCATGGTAGGGATGGACAGGGTCTGGCCATAGAGGGCGAGGGCTGGGTTCGTCCACCCTGCAGGTACTCTCCGAGGCAGGCGGGGGTGGCAGACACAGGGCTGTGGCTGCTCCCAGACTGTGTCCCCAGCAGCTGCTGAGCAATAGAACCTCCCCCTCTGCCCTAGATCCTGCCTCATCGTCCACTCTGGCTGGTGTCCCACATGTAGTTCCAATTGTTACAGATTTTTACTGCCCTCCCCACCCTAAATACTTTATTTAAAAGCAAAAGAAATGCAAAATAAAATGAAGTACTCTACCCAAGAAACAAAAATAGCCCAGCCTGTGTGTCTCAGTGGCTGAGCGTCGGCCCATGAACCAGGAGGTCATGGTTTGATTCCCGGTCAGGGCACATGCCCGGGGGTTGAGGGCTCCATCCCCGATGGGGGGCGTGCAGGAGGCAGCCGATTCATGATTCTCTCTCATCATTGATGTTTCTGTCTCCCTCTCCCTTCCTCTCTGAAATCAAAATATATTAAAAAAGCAAAACAAACACCAGGGATTGGTGTGGTTTATGATAAGAATATCTTATCTCGAGTCTCAATAGGTTAAAGAGAAAAGGGAGAGAGGGGAAGTCATGTGAGCATCTCATCAGAGACAGAACAACATTCTAAAAAAATCCGGTATTTGTTCACGATTAAGAAAAAACACACCAAAACTCTCAACAAAGGAGGGAGAGGGGAAATTTCTTAACCTGATGGGGCAGATACTGAATCTGGCTCATCTGGTTTCTGTTCTAGAGCCTTCTAGCGCCCTCTGACTTCCAAGGGGCTGGAAGCTGAAAACCACCTTTTCCCGACGCCCCTGTGACCTGGGTTTCTGCAATGGTGTGTCCACTAGGAAGGTCCCTGGTGTGCTGGCATTTTTCCTGGTTGCAGAGCAGGAAAAGCCCACTGTTGTCTGCTTCCCGGAGCTTCTGGGCCATGCAGACGTAATAACCCTTCCTGCTGACACCAGCTCGAGAGGGATCTGTCGTCTGTAACCGGGAACTGACTGACCTGGCAAAAAGCCCGGCCGGCGGGGCTCAGGGTTGCGCAATGACCTATGAACCAGGAGGTCAGGGTTTGATTCCCGGTCAGGGCACATGCCCGGTTTGCGGCCTTGATCCCCAGTAGAGGG